CATGAGCTTCATGTAACAACATGGCACTGTGAGCTCGTTGTTCCCACACAGAGGAGATGTGTGTGTGTGTGTGTGTGTGTGTGTGTATGTGTGTGTGTGAGAGTACTTAGTGCCATGTATGTCAGCCTGGTGTGTGCGCACAGTGGTTCCTTGTCCACACGTGACGCCGTTATGAGTCCCAGTTTGTTCCAGTGTAACTTTGTGTCATTATTACTGAGGGAGAGGAAAACATCTCTGACCCTTTAGTGTTTGTTTACCGGCCAATCAGAGTCGCCCATCGCTGACAACATGGAGGAGAAGGCTGTTCCCTTATTGTCAACAAATCCCATAAAAAGACTGAAACCAAGAAAAGTGTCAGTCCGTCTCTCGATACTGTCTGACTTCCTGTCTGTGGCTCTCAGCTCCAATCCCATTGGTTCCTACTGAAGATGTAAATCTTTAAGAAAAGACTCACAAATGTATAGTTTCATTTTTACAAGAAGCAACAGAGGCAACAGAAATGCTCGCGTATAGCACCGTTAACATTTATATCTGCAGGAGGGAGACTAAATGTTCGTATTGTTCTGATTATTGCAGCCTACATTGAATTTAATATTAAAAACTAGTCTATATTCTGTTTGTTATACTGATGAGAGGAAATTAAAAGAATGAGAATGTTAACTCCACCTAAATGCATCTATTGGCTATAAAGTATTTAAGATATTTATGTGTTTACAATAAGACATGCATAAAACAAAGTTGTGATTTATTCAAGATGATGAGGAAAAATGCCAATAAACAAATGTTTGGGAACGTTCATTTTTGCACAGATTTGCTCTTGTCATGAGTTATACATAAGGCCTATTGTGAATCGGGTCTCGATGGTTTATCACTTTTAAAAAGTGTGTCCCCAGAAAAAAAACACTTTCAGCCCTTTTACTGTTGTTTCCATTGTTAGCGCTGTTGGCTTCTAGCCGCCGCCATGTTGAGAGCCTAATGGAGGCAATTGATATACATATTTTTCTTGTTTTAGTTACATTCACATTGTTCAGTTTATGTTTCTAGTTTAGTCAGTCCTGTTAAACAGATTTAATCTTGTTCTAATCTACTTACTCCCCTCATGTCTGACACTATCTCACATATTATATAACATAGTGTTCCAGCTCTTCATTGAAGCTATCTGATGTTTACAATGAGAGACATATTGAAACCAAAGACTCCATGTTTTTAAGGCTGCACCGACACATCTACTGGAAATATTCCAGATGTGAGACGTGTGCGTTATTTTACACACACTTCCCAGAAAAGTAGCGTAATGTATTTGATATCTGAACTGAGTTTGGCTGCAAACATTAGTTTGATCCACCAGAAGCTCAGCGAGGTGTAGGAGGACACGCATATGTATTTATGTACACCTTGAAACCTGAAGAGTTTTCATCCATGTGAGAAATGTTTTCAGCTGCCAACATTCCTCTGCTGGACTCCTCCCAGAATGCATCAGGGCCACCAATACAGAATGACCCATCCAGCTAAAACAGATGCAAGTATTTTAGTAGGAGGCTGCGAGTCCTCTGCTGGCAGGCGCTTAATGCAATATGTGCCCGTAAGATGAAGTCACAAACATTGCGACTGTAGTCGACTCCCACTCGCCGGGCAGCACAGACGGGGCATTATGTGGACGAGTACCAGCTGGTACCACGGGCTCCTCATCCTCCTTTCGGGACTTCATTCGCTGGTGCCTTTTGAAATCAGGACATGGAACTGAAATCGAGGAGCCAACCTGTGGACGTTCTCCTCGGATGCATCGTCGCCGCCTGCATTTGTGCCGTATGTCCGGCCGAAAGACGTGAGTAGAGCTCTGGACTCTGTGGAGGGCCTCGGCTGTTCGCTGGCGAGGGGCAGGAAGAGATGGGGATGTTGGGGAGGATTCAGAGAGACACTGGATGTTTTCTATTTCTGCTCCTTTTTAAAGCACTTTAACCTTTATGGACTCTATGGATCCCTTGTTAAAAGACAAAAGTATCTTTAGGGGCCTGAAGAGGTCAAAGAAGCCAGTATTTTACCACAAAAACAGACATTCTTAACTTAATTTATTGTCAATTCTTAGTGATTCTTTCTTCCCCCTTCAGAGGCCCATTAACTGCTTTAAAAGAATAGAAATACATTAACAAATCTGATTGTTTTTAAAGGGTTAAGTTTGTTGTCAGTGCAACGTATAAGCAGACACAATATGACATATTAGACAATAGATATTAGCAAAATTGGGACTTGGTATTTAATTGAGAACGAGCTTTAGATGTTTGTGTTGTTTACTCAAACAAGACATAACGTGTTTATGAGCGAGACCTTTCTCCTGGTTTGGTGCAGTGGAGGAGCGTCCTCACCACGTAATGACTGTTGTTGGGCAACATGTCAGCTGGACAAAGTGTTGCTGCTGCTTCCAGAGTTATTGGATGTGACCACACACCCTCAGAGGAAATCCACATCTCTACAAAAGACGGGCCTTAAAGTTTTAAAGGACCCCGACTAACAACCTTTTTTAATTTCCTTCCTGCTGACAAAACACTGAGAAGCATTATTATTATATATGCTTCTAATATTAGTGCGATTGTGAATATGTTTTTAATGCACTTGAAGCTTTTTATCTCGTTGGTCGTGTGATGTTTCTACAGGTGCTTTATATTTTCTGTTGTTGGATTAGATTTGTTTCGTGCTCTTATGATTGTTTTATGGCTGTTGATATCTCTTTTATACTGTGTTTAATGTATTATGTGCTTTATGAGTCTTTGCTATTGTCTTCTTTCTCTGTCTTTGTGAGCTCACAGAGACAGATTCCACTCCGTCACATTGAAGAAGCAATAAAGTTTAGAATTTTGAAACAGTCAGACAGAGCTAGCTGTTTATGCTAAGCTAAGCTAAACTAACGAAGGCCTGTAGTCACTTCATATTGACCGTACTGTCATGACGGTGTCGTTATCATCTACAGTAATGTAAAGTGCGTTCCTCAAAATATCAAACTATTCCTTTAAGTACAATATTAAGTCAGTCAGGTTGTCATTCTTTGGCCCTTATTCACAGAGGGGCCCCGTGGAAAAATCTGAATTAGTTTGTGTTGGGCTCAGATGGTGCAGATTCAAAATAAAGCGGTGTTTAATTAAACCTCCACAAACTTACTGACACACGGACAACAATATGCCAGAGATTTTAATTTCAGTAGAGAAATACTGCTGGTGATCAATTTGCTCTGCAGGGTTTTAAAAAGTTAAAGTGCTCAAACTAAAAAGTGTGACTCTTATACTATTATATCTCATATCAATAAATTACTATTACGCATCCGTTAATGTAAAGTCAGGATTTCACTGTTATAGTTGGTTCATTTTGAACTATTAACGAATGATTACTTTCATTATGGATTCATCTGCTGATTATTTTCTCCATTAATCGACTAATTAATCCCAAAGTGACACCTTCACAATGTTTGTTTAATCAAAACATTATGACTAAAACAGAAACATCATTAACTTTATTAAAAGGAAAAGCTGCTAATCTAGAGCCATCAGATGTTTTTACGTAGTTTAACATAGTTTCTAATTCATTTTCTGACGATTTGTGAAGTAAAGTTGTCAGATAACTGCAGTGAAGTAAAAAGTACAATATTTCCCTCTGAGATGAATTTGATGTAAGTGGGATCAAGTAAAGTACAAATTCTTAATCCAGCACTTGAGTAAATGTACTTAGTTACTTCCACCACTGCACAGTACATACCATCTGATTACTTGTGTTTGAAGTCAAGTACACCAACTAAACTTGGTAATAATCGTAACTGCATGTACAATAATCTCTTTAGTATCTTATCCTTCTTTTATACAAATCTTTTTATAATTCAATCAAATCTCTTGAGGCTTCCCACTTCCTGTCTCATGTTGATGTTGATCGTAACACTTCCTGCTTCATTCGATGCCTCTTCCCTCTCTCAGTCTGCACGGTTCCTCCGGGCCCCGTGACCGTCCTGGAAAACAGCACGGCGGACGTCCAGCTGGTGACAATCATCTCCAGCAGCGACGCCACGCTGACCGTCACGGTGAACCCTGAAGATCTGTTCTACCTGAAGGGAAACGCCCTGATGGTGAAGAAAGGACTGGACTACGAGGTGATTACAGATTACAGAGTCTAGAACATGTGATCCGATCAGCTGATGGTTGACAACAGCAAGCAAACGTTTTGATGTGGATCCTTTGAATTCGTTCATTTAAAAAATATGTGTGATAGAAATCTATTGTCTGTCGTACGATGTTTTGAACAACATGTACTTCAGATTAAAATAATTGTGATTAAAAACGACTCCTGCTGAGTGGAAACTAATCTGATTGGACAGATTTCAGTGATTCATCAGTGAGGGGAGCCAATCAGGGCCCAGTCCAGTTGTGATGCACTCGACAGTCTGAAACTGAGTGGAGAAATGTATGGGCTTTAAAAAGATATAATACACCGTACCTTAACTAAGTAACATGCATATAAGAAGTTGTACGATGAAAACACAGACAACGCCGTGGTAGAGACCTGTCAATCACCGTGTAGCCCCGCCCTAAAGCAT